ATTATCTCTCGAGTGGCATGAACCAGCATGTATCTTAATATATCTTGTCGTGCTCTGTGTTCATGTACTCAGCTTATGAGTGAGGCGATGTGTAAGTGATTTTTTAAAAAGCTACCGTAAAATCATTTATAAAGAATGACATATTTTATTTTAAAACTTAATATCACCTGGTGGTTTCCTATGAGCTGTGGAGTGAAACAAAGTAGAGGAAAAGTTGTTCCAAAGATGATGACTCTTTTTGACCATTTCGCTTGTTTCTTTTGGTCTATTGCATTGGGTCAAGGATTTACGGAGAAGGAAGAGATTGAGTCAGATTTTCAGAAAAGAGGGTGAGTTCAATTTGTTGGTTCTGAGGAGTTTTGGGTCTGAAGGAATTCACCATGTATAACTTTACAGTGTGTTCTTCTCTTCTGTTCCCCTCCCTACCCCATAACCTTGGGCATCTCTAGAGGTTAATAAACTAGTCTTAAAACTAAATAACACTCAGAGAGCCTCACTGCACCTGGAGAGGTTTGGGCAGCTGGGGGTGGGGATTGACCATCAATTTAGATCTAGACCAGGTCAATAGCAAATGAAGGCTGTTGTCTCCTAACAGCTGTTCAGTGGCCTCTGGGAATGAGGTGGTGGCTTCCAGCCAGTTTCTGGACAGCTGTCTTCCTCACAAAAAGCATTGCCACAATTGGCATTAATTGGCTCTCTTGCTGGCAGCCTCCGAAGGCAATTCATTGAATCTTCTTTGTTCTCCCTTCCTCTTTCTCCTCTCCACTCCCCTCTTCTTTCTCCTCTTCATTTCTGCTTTCCCTTCCTCCTGTCTTTTCCCTTTTCCTTTCCTTCTCTGTCTTACCAGTAGGTGGCCTAGAAAAAAAGAGCAGTAGCAGTTCCTGAGGGAAGAATGCATTAACACCTCAGACTGTGCTCTCTGCCAGGGCTTGCAAAGGGCCCTAAGATCCGGCTGTTGGGATAGAATTCTCATACCTCCCACAGCGCCTGCCTTCTCTGCCCCAGCCCCAAGTTGGTTTGCTCAAGGCGTGTCAGAGTTTACTCTGGGGGTGTCTGTTTTATCCATTGAGCTCCTCCTTTCATCACAAGGCAGGGAACACGGCTCTGTTTGTAGAATGGATGGACCCATGGGGAATTTTGAATGATTCAGTAGTTATGGTATAAACCTTTCATTATAACTCCCTCTCAGATACAACCAGGAGTTACTGGAGACAAAAGGCTGTACAGTTTGTGATTCCCTTCTCTGATAAAAGCTGAGCTATTTTGGGAGGATATGTATGTCAATCATATTCCCAAACCTAAAAACACATCTATCCTGACCAGACATTTTTGGATTTATAATGTATTTATCTGACAAATTTTTAATAAAGTAAAAATGAAACTTCATTTTAAATTATATGTAACAAACCACTTGAATCAGAAGGAATAAAATTCTACAAAATTAAGACTGCTTGAAAATCCACAGCATGAATTATTAACTGCACAGAATTCTTTAAATGCTCTTTGGCTTCTTCAGATAACAATAAAGAGATAGTAGTGGTAGCTTCCAGCCTTGAAATTTCCAAATCTGCTGTCAGGTGATCCAACTTCATTTTCTGAGTCTCATGTCCCATGCAGAAAATCCTTCATTGGTCAATGGATGTCCTACTTGTTGTAACTTAAGAGGGGAGAGGGAGAGGGAACAACTCACTCCACCAGGATGCTGATGTCATTCCCTCAGTCTCAATTTAAGAGTCAAAAAGTGGACTAAAGGAAGACTTTTCCTCATATACCTGTTATTTTTCCAACCAGAAGGAGGCAATGGTAGGACATGATGCTCTCTTACTATGGAAAGAGAAAAAAATTAAACAATTTTGCAGTGGTTCTGCACTTATTAAAAAGTCCAAAGCACTTTGCCCTAGGCTGCCTCTCTTTGGAATTTAAAACCTGTGTACAACATTGCATGGGGAAATTCAACGAACATGCCACACATTGGTTTGCATTTAACTCATCACAACGTTGATTGCTAAGAACACTTACACGACCAAGAAGATATCCAAGCCTTTCAAATGATCATATGAAATCAAAACCAGAAGCTTGAATTGGGGGCAATATTAAACAGATGTGAAATCCCAGATATCCTTTGCAATTTAGAAGGTAAAAGTACTCAGTGCAACCACTTTTGGCAAGGGTTTTGATTCTTGGTGTAATGACCAGGACCCACAAAACAGTCATGTAGGAAAAAAGTGAGGTTTACAGTTGGGGAAAATAGCCCAACACCAACTGACTCTACAACCTTGACGATCCACTTTCATCTATATGATGGGACAAATCATACTCTGTCACCTTATGGGTTATTTTTGTTACTTAATGGGTATAAAATTACTTGAAGATCAAAGTGCTAAATATTATTACAAATTAGAACAAGCAACTGTGAACCATGCATAAAAGAGAAATCGCTTTGGAGAAATGTGATTTCTAGGATGGACAGATTGTCTAAGAGGTAAAAGAATGGCTCTTGGTTTTGTGATTCGTATATTCATTCATTTAGAAAAAATGACAGAAGAAATCTGAGAAATAATATCATCAGGCTATGTGCCTATTTGTTTTTCTATTAAAAAAAACATTTAAACCCTCTGACTTCAAAAAAGTGAAAAAGAAAATAAAGGAAAAAGGAAAAAAAAGCCAGTCTGACTTATAACCATTTGTAATCTGGATGTCTCTTGAACTTTGCATTTAAAAAGAAAGCATGTTTCTGATTTTCCAGCAATCTCCCTCCTTAGCTTGCCATTTCCAAACATACCTCTCTCCTTGAAAGCAAATGACAAGTAAGGGAGAATTGCTTTATAGCTGCCAAAGTCTCTACTTTGAAGGAGAACTGGTTTAATTCAAACAGGGCAAAATGAATGTCTGTGATGGGGTGAAATTTTAAGGCTTGGGCAGTGAGTGGAAGCATCATTTCCTAAGTCCACACCTTCTTCTGTCATTGTTGGCTGGGACATCATCTGGCTCTGTAGCTTTCCCATCTACACTAGTTAAAATACCATGTTGTCACCTCCCTCTCTTTTTGTCCTTTCTGTTTTTCCATAAGGGCATTGAGAAGATTAAGAGAATGAATGGAGTAAATGTATATGTATTATGTACGTGAATAATATTCTTTTGCTAACAACATATGCTAGTCATAGGAAAAATCTTTTTCTATGTGCTTTATATTCATTTTCTTAAGCTCTGAAGTCTTCTCTAAAAATTTAGTCCATGGGATGGAAATCCAAAACTCATCATGGACTAAACTGATGATAACAATGAAGGAATCAGGTTTTTAAGACAATAGGAAGTAGTGAGGATTATGTCAATGGAGAGGCCATACCCAAGTCCAGCAGGGTGTAGAATTCTGGGGCACGCCAGTCACATCATATTTTATGTGAATGGTGCCCCCTAGTGTGGAGTAATGCATGCCCTGTCCATTCATCCATTCATCCATTCAGTACATCCTCCTTGAACTTAAGTATGTGCCCGGCATGGTTTAACGCTGGGACATGGCAATGGACAAAGCAGACAGGAATCCCTGGTCTCACGGAACCTAAAGCCATTCTCATTCAATTATTATTATTTTTTAAGGCAAAAAGCACCACACCAACCAAATAAAACGCATCTGATGCAGAATTTGGCCCATGGGCCACCAATCAATGACCCCTGCTCTAGGCTTTTAAATTATGTCTGTGATCTTGCAGGATTTAGCCACAGGGACAAAACAGAGAAATGTACTGACCACAAGTTTGTACCCACTGCTTAGCCCACGCTTAATGAGAGCTCCGTGTACATAGAAAAGTCAGCTAATTAAATTTCAATTAAAATTCCGTATCACCACTCTAGTGTCTGCACTTGCCACCCATTCTTCCAAGAAAATATAATTCCTAGAGGGGACCTGTTAGGTAAGTGAGGAAGAAAAACTAGAATGAGGTGACGGGTCATGGCATTCTGCCAAAGCATTGTCTGCTTAAATACCCATCAGTCCCGGAGACTAATGGGAGAGGCGAGCCATTGAGCAATGGTCAGTGTGGTTCTTGAACCAATTCAAAGTCTGCTCCTAACCACCTACAAATTTAATTAAAATTGTTTTCAAGCTAGAAGGAAGATTCCCTAAAGGTCAGGTCTCTTAGGAGTTATGCTAACAGAAGCAGGGAAAGTGCAGAATTTAAAGAGCTCTGTTACAAAGAATTTATTTCTCAGCCTTATGGCATCTTTATGCCATTTGATGGAAAGTTTTAATTTAATCTACATATAGGCAAAATGGAACTAAAAGGAGATCTGGTCACCTAACTACATTCATGTCTGCAAGATTTTTTTTTTTTTTGCTTTGGAAACTTTGGTAAAACTGAAAAGAAAACGTATTAATTTTCTGCAGGAAGCTTTAGAGAAATGCTGTGATGATACTCAAAAAATTGAAAAGTTTTCCACCTCACAACTCACTCTGAATTTCCTTAAAAAAGATCATGACTCAAAAATATTTAAAGAACCTAGGTCACAAATCTGACGAGAGAGTCACAGTATACAGGAATAAAGACCAAATGTAAGCATTCACATCTTCCAAGAAATAGAGCATGGATCATCTCTGATTACTCTTTCTCTTTTCCACCTGTCTGCCAGGATCCTTTCTTTCCAAAACCCCTCATAAACGAAGAATAATGACAATAATAATAATCAGAGGAGAGGGTGTTACCCTGTCAATCTACACGTTATATTAAATTACTTTTCCCAAAGTTCGGGAGCATTTCCTGAAAACCCTCAAAGGTATTAATTTTTTTCTCTCTCTCTTTTTAAATCACAAAGCAAAATTCCGCTGTCCCTCTGCCCCCCCTACTTCTGAAAAAAAAAAAAAAGTTGTCGAGTTTTGCTTTTTTCTTCACTGCAGTCCTGGCCAAAGTAAAGCCCTCTCTCTCAATGACGTCAAGATCTTTACCAAGATTAGGCTTTCATTTCTCTATTGCAGCAATTAGCCAGGGAATGTATAAAAGCCTTCAGGGAGACTCACTGGGCTGCAGAGAGGCACTTTGCACCACAGACAGATAGCAGGAAGGAAAAGCCAGAGGGAGTGAGGCAAAAGAGCACTCAGTCGCTCCTGGGAAGGGAGAGAGTGAGACAGGCTGGGAGAAGGAGAACAGAAAGTGTGTGTAAAATGGAGAAAAGAAGGGGAAAACGACCCTTAAAGCACATTTTTAAAACTCTGGCAATTCAAGAGAGAAACAGGCTACGTTTCTGAACATAGAGACAATGAAAAGCTAAAGAATATTTTGCAATCTCTGCCACAGTCTCATAGGTGCTTGGAAATGAAAGTAGAGCTGCCTGTCTTTAGCGGACTCTGAGAGGGGTAACTGGATTAGGGACGGGTACGCCAGCTTTTTTTTTTTCAAACATCTTAAATCCTGAAAAAAAAAAAAAAAAAGGCAGCAGCTCCGAATTGAATGAATTGATGGGCACACTCCAACTGCTGGGCTGGAGAAACTGGACTTGGTCTTGCCATTTCTGCTTCTTTGAAAGAGGAGACAACTTGGGCTTCCTTTTAATTTAGTTTTTCTCCTTCTCCCCCCACCCCCCCAACCTTCCCCCTTACCTCCCCCACCCCCTCTATCACCACCCCCCTTTTAAATAAGAGGGTGAAGGGGAACCAGAGCGCACAAGGGAACTGACTCAGGAGGCAGAGAAGATGGGCATCCTCAGCGTAGACTTGCTGATCACACTGCAAATTCTGCCAGTTTTTTTCTCCAACTGCCTCTTCCTGGCACTCTATGACTCGGTCATTCTCCTCAAGCACGTGGTGCTCCTGTTGAGCCGCTCCAAGTCCACTCGCGGGGAGTGGAGGCGCATGCTGACCTCAGAGGGAATGCGCTGCATCTGGAAGAGCTTCCTGCTCGATGCCTACAAACAGGTGAGCTGCGCTCAGAGGGGCTTCTCTCACGTCAGCAGGGGCAGGGGCTGGAACGTTGGGGCTCCAGGCCGTTGGGAGCGTTGGGGTGAGAATTGTGGAGGCGTATTTGGGGGTCTGGTGCTTATGCTCAACTGAGCTCCTGCCTTTACTGTCGACAGCTGTCACACAAGTTAGATTTGGGGGTGACAGGTATTAAGCCGTAATGACTGTGTGAGCTAATAAGGAATCTTTCCAATAAGAGTCTTTAATGGCTTGCTGTGATTTTGGAGTAGAGAGTGTTTGTGCCGGGAGAAAAACTTTGGGAAAAGTCAGAAAATGTTGGGGGAGAGGAGACTGCTGCATTTAATCTGCTCTTGTCATCAACTGGGAGTTTTATGTTTTGCTTGATGAGAGGCTATGTAAGCTATGTTAGGAAAGACAGTTCAAAGGTGTGGACACTGAAAAGCAAGAAAAAAAAAAGGCTACTCAAAACTCCCAGAGAGTTGACAGGACTTAACAATATGGTCACAGAAGGTGTGATTTGGCATAAATGCCTCTTCGTTTCTGGTAGAGGTAAGAGTTAATGGAAGCAAGCCTGTGTGCAGCATCATCCTCTACATTGATTCAGATTTGAGCTCTTTTGAAGGGGTTATCGGGCACAGAGTCCTGAGTTACTTGATATCAGGTTGCAAAAGAAAGATCTGAGAACTGGCTGTCAGAAATCCAGACTTTGTAAGGGAAACCACGTTTGCTTTGTTTCTCAAAAGCTAATTAAGTTCTCTTAGAAAGAGTAGATAGGTCTAGTTCATTGCAATTTCAAAGCTGCTATAACATGTGCCTTGAGCACTGGCGCGGTGGCCTCACTTACCTGAGGAAGTTGTATCTCAGGCTCAAAACCAGAGCTGATGACCTTGTTTCTAAATGAAGAAGGCTAGCATTCCAGCCTTTTTCCTGCTTTGCGGATGTTGGTGGAGTGTTCTCAACTCAGATCTCAAGGAGCAAAGAGGAACATTTTGGCACTAGTCCTTTGTCAGTTTGCCTCCTCCTCCTATGCCTGTATGACTCCTGAAGGTCCCTGGGCTTAAGAAGAATTGACTCACTTGGCAAAAGTTGCTGTTGAAGCAGACAATCTTGGTTTTCCCTAACTATATTGGGGGACCTTGCTCAAGATGCCAGGGAAAAGAGTTGGAGAGGAATATGGAAGCCAATGAAGTGGTACTCTATAGACAGACAGCACCTCAAAAATAGAGACAGAAAACTCAGAATAAGAGAGGGAAAGGAATGAGTCCTCTGTAAATAAACCCCAGAAAAATCTATGCACCAGGAAAGGAAAAGAAGTAACTTCTAGTCATGAAGAATCCAGAGTAGGATTCTTCCACTGAAAATCAAACAAGTGTTCAAGAGGAAACTATCCATTGTGATTTAGGAAGTTTTACTACATGTCTTTGTTATTGAGAGTAACCTGAATAAGGTTTGTATTTGTGGTCTTAAAGACAGGAGAACAGCAAGAGCGCTTGTTAGTAAGTGAAAATTCCTTTATAAAAATATGAAACGATGGTCAAAGTTCTAACAGCAAAAACTTATTTATGTTATGAATGTGGGGCAAAGGGGAAACGTGGAAAGGAGATACTGAGATGATCATTTCATTTCCAAAAAAATATACATTGAATGTGAGTTTTTACGTTTTGTTTTGAGGGTAGAGAATTTGGAGAAGGGCAGGGAGTACGCAAATACGTCAGGCATATTATTAATTAGAAAGTTCCCTCGTATATGTCTGTATTTTGTAGGTGTTAGGAGACAACATGGCAGTGTCAGTGGTTTGATCTCAGCATATTAAAGTCTTATTTCTTTGAAAGACTATTGACTTTGCCTATAAAAGAAAAATCACTGCTTGGGAGAATTTTACTTAGATGCATATATACTTATATAGATATCTCTCACACAAAATATGGGGGCTATGATGTCACCCACAAATATTAAGTGAGGTTGTTTCTCCTATTAAGCAGCTTATTGAAATAAAAAGGGAAAAACAAATGTTTCTTTAATAAACTTTATTTATTTTTTTCACTAATGCATAGTGTTCCATTGTGTTGCAATATTTTGTTATTGCTATTCCAGGAAATTGAGAAAGATGAGTGATTTGTTTTCTTTTTTGCGTATGGTTTATGTATTTCTCTCCTGTATTGTTTCTGTCTACTGATTTGAATAGTGACCAAGTTCATGAATGATGTTATTGTGTTTGCTTTTAACGATTTATATAATAGCTACCATGAGAAGAAGCAACCCGAGAACCCATATATCAGGGACAAGACTGAGCTGGGTGTGTAATGGAAACATTATGAACACAGCTTGCACTGAATTTAGATCTCCTCTGTCTCCAAGTATGGCAAGGGTGATGGTGGCTATGGTGGCATTTGAGGTGGCACTCAGAATCTCTGAAACAGGTTGAATCACTTCCCTGAATTCTGTTGTCATCTGTGCCACTATCTTTAGGTGTAGCCATTTCTAGAGACACACTGGAGGAAGTTCTGTTTGAGATGGCATCACAGTGCTTCACACTCCTGACTTGCATTATTTAGAGGCTGCCACCCTCAGAAGCAGAGTTTTCCAGAATGAGGGGTGTATGAACTTGCAATACAATTAGACATAACATTTTTGTGTGTGCATGTGAGGAAGATTAGCCCTGAGCTAACATCTGTTGCCAATCCTCCTGTTTTTGCTGAGGAAGATTGGCCCTGGGCTAACATCCGTGCCCATCTTCCTCTACTTTGTATGTGGGACGCCTGCCACAGCATGGCTTGATAAGCAGTGCATAGTTCAGCACCTGGGATCCAAACCTGCGAACCCCGGGCAGCTGAAGCTGAGCACACAAACTTAACCACTACGCCACCGGGCCAGCCCCTAGGCATACTATTTTTAATTCTGCTCGTTGTTGAATGTTAGATACTTGAGAAGATGTTAACAGAAAGTACAGTAAAATTGTTATCCCTGTGTTTGGCTCCTACAAGAGGCAACACAGAAATTAGAACAAAATAAAACAAAAAACCCTTCTTCGTTAAAGTGTTGAGTGAGATTTAAAATTAACTTTGTATGGAAGCTTTTAAAGATAATTTCGGTTTGGTTGGAGTTGCATGCATGGTTTTGATGAAAAAGAAGGTCTACAGAAACTTGTGAGAGATGGAAGTGAATAATAGGTAATTGATTATTTAAGTTTCCCTGGTCAGTGTCATTGCATCTAACACTGCATCTTTATGCTGGTGCTCAAAGACTAAAAAATGCAACCAGTAAGCAAACTACCCTGTCTGGGAGCCTGGCCCCTACCTAAATGAAGTATAAGAGTAAATGCACAGTATAGATGCTGACAAGCAGTTTAGCTTCTGCACGGTTAATATTGCAGTGGCACAGAAAACATATTCATTTGAACATATAATTTTGGTTTTGAAAGGATCTCTTTAACATTCTCCTCCTCCTCTTCATTCACCTCAAGCCTTTTGACACTAGTTTCTACAATGGAAAATGGCTCTGTTAAGAGAGAAACATTCCCAAAAGAACACAAAGAAGGCCACGGCCAGAGCCTGTCCATCACTTGGACAAAACACTGGAAAATGATAGAGCTTAGAGCTACATTTTCAAGGTATGGATCAAAAAGAGAATGGCCTAAAGGAAATTGAACTGAGAGGAAAGACTAGGTAGCTTATTCTTCAACTGATTTGTTTGGCCAATTTGAATGTAAATGGTTGAAGTGCTGCTTAATAATTATTTGGCCACATTTGTAAGGACATTAATGTAGCCTGATCATTATGTCAAAGAATTTGAAATTTCCTGATAGATAGAAAGCCATTCCAGGGCTTTGAATAGCAAGAAGGATGTGTGAAAAGTGTTCTGTCACTCCCCCACCCCCATTTTTATCATTTGCTTTACTTTCTATCACGAGATTAGGTGATATTTTGTCCAGAAGCCTTCCTCAGGCTGTGGAAAAGAAAAAAACAAGGTTAGTAGTATATGCTCTATTTCCAGCTTCGACTTGATGAATGGTTCTTTCTTCTTTCCCCTCGCCCTGCATTTCACAAGTCCACGTGCTAAACCAGCATTATCCTTTTCCTCATGCACTGAACACTGTCAGGAAAAGGAATCCCACCATCAAGGGAATCAAATTTATATATATGCCATATATTTACGCTCCTGTTCATATTTATGAATATGGCTATCGCAACCTTCGAGCTTGGCCCAGAGATGTCCCTGCTGTAAAAATGCAAACCTTTTATTCACCTCCCTTGTTGGTGTTGTGTTGATGCTGATTACAAAAGCATAGAAAGAACAACTGTAATAGTGCAGATGAGAGAGAGAAAAGTCAGTAATGACGATATTACATTTTACGTATGTCCTTTCTGATCCTTGCAAAATAAAGGGACCCTTTGGGAACATCGGAACTTCAAGACCAATTAGTGGAAATGATGCTTCTTGTGTTTGGGCATTAAATACTGGGCAAGGTTCTCTTTAGAGAGGCTAGTGCTGGCAGGGAAAGAGGTACCGACCTAATTACTCTTCCGCAAGAGTAAAAAATGCCTTTTGAATGCCTCTTTGGCAAATATGTCTCATTAAGCACAAAAACCAAACACAAACCCTCTAAGAAGGAGAAATTAAGATGATAGGTAACTTGTGGCCAGGAGACTTTCTGTGCCACTGTGGGAAATTAAAACAAAGTTTGAGAGTACCAGGGGATAACTTGTTTTTGTTGAGCTTCTTTCCTGCAGCCTAAATGTTATTATGGGACCAACTTTATTTTCTTCATCATTTTGGCTCTTTGTCAGGAATGCTTTGCTCCTGGGGAAAGCAAAGAATCTTCCGTCATTGAAGACATTGGTGATGATTGGCCACTTTCATTTTATGCACTGACCAGCTGAGAGAATCAAGAACAGATCCACAGCATTAGGCGTTGATTATGGCGGTGCCCTATAGTAGGGCTCCAGGATTCACATTTCTAAATTATCTGCCTCAGTGAGCTCATCCATCACCCAAATATGATTATGTTCATTGCAGGCCAAGGTTATTATTAAGTGTAAATTTCCTCACTGACCCCTACCTAGGATTATAACAACTGTCATTCATTCAATAAAATTAAAAATATATATGTATTTTCCAGCTTAACAAAATGCCAAACACCTCACACAAAGAGCATTATGTACTTGATAACTTTCCTAATTTTTAATTTTAGAATGAAGGTATTATACTTGTTCTAAATTTTCTAAGGTAAACTAGTCTGTATTTTGGAAAGAATTGTGTGGCTGAACTCATTACTGAGAAGAAGGAGAAGGTGCTTTAACTTTCCAAAAAATTTAACTACAGGTTACAAGAGAGTCACCTGTGACTGAAGCATCAGATTAGCTTGTTCAGTTGAATAATCAGGAATAATGCCAGGATCAACAGTTCTGCTAGTGTGAGAGTCAGGGAGGTCAGAAGCCCAGTTAACAAGACCACACAATTGTTCCTAGGTCTTAAAAATGACTTCAAAAAGCGGGTGGATATTTTCACCTACCAAGAACCTAAAGTCTATAGTTCAAAGATGATTTTTCTCCCGTGTATGGGCTGCTCACTTAACAAGAAGTTGCTACAACAGCTAATGGATTCAGACTGATCTGAATGTATTCAGGTCTTTATATTACAGTATTTTGAGGAACACAGCACAACAATATTGTTAAAAGCAGCCCTCTGAGAATCATTATTGCTACTTTAATTGGGAAAGATCTAATGAGATGGTGATGGTAATGCTACCCACCACCTAAATCTACAAAGACGTGTAAAAAGAACCCATAGATTAAAAGGTTTATAATACCTTTAAAATGTATATCTTTAAATTTTAAGTATATTTAAATACCTCAGAGGCGAGTGTAGCTCGTATAAAATAATCCACCTGAAAGTGGCTTATTGTTTCTCCATCTAGTGTCACTTACAAATTAACCAAGAAAATTAATATAAATAAAATAGCTTTCTCCCTGATAGTGACTGCAAACAAACCTACTTACTTAAGTCACACCGACAGCTTCCTTTTCCTAAGAAAGAGGACTGTTATTCTAACACTTCTTTGAGAAAACAGTACTTGTTTCAAACCTGCCCTGCTTAGATTTTTCAGAAAGAAGAGAAAGGACTTCTTTAATTCTTTCTCTACAGTTACAATGAGTTATGCATTAACATTAGATAGAAGCTTCTGAATAAAAGCCCTTGAGTGTTTTTTATCAGCTTGGATTCTTGAGTCTTGAACAATTCACTTCTAAGTGACTTCAATTAACAGCAGTGTTATATGCGGCTGTATTTATGTGAGAGGAATAAGTCAATCCACTTGGAAGTGTTTTGTAATATTAAGAATAGTGTATAAAAATCAATTGTACAGTCATAAGTTGTCCCTAATGTTATTGGCTTTGATTAAACCATTCTCGGGGAAGATCCAATTCTGTTAATTCAAACTAAAGTAATTGGCTCTTTTATCTTGCCTGCTTTTTATTATCAATTTACAGATCCAAAGGCCAGCAAACTTTCTTTCAGTCTGTGTTCAACTGTTTAACCCACATGCAAAAGGGGCACAGGGAACAATTTTCTTCTATACCTCTTCTGCCTGAGTATTTTATAATTCAGAGGAGCTTGTTAGTAAATTATGTGGTAGAAAAGTAAATGGTCTGTGACTTTCTAGATAAAAGGAGGGAAACAAACAAAAACACAATGAAAAATGAGAAATTAAAAATAAAATTCTGGAATAATTGTATGTTTTTGTTCATATGTTTGTTTGTTTTTTTATTGGAAATGGTGAGGCTCTGGTCATAAGGACCACAAAGTAAGCAGTGACTGTAGAATTCTCCAGGAGGATGTCATATTGAGGAATGCTCAAATCACTTCTAGGGATAATTTTTTTTAAACATAGAATTGCCTAGGAAAGATGGTGTTCTGTTTCATATGTTTGGGTGGCATCTAATAATGGCAACCTATACCCACCCAATGATTTATAGTGTACAAAGAGTTCTTTTCCTTATGTTATGCTCCTATAATCATAGGAGGAAGACAGGCATTATTATCACCATTTTACAGATGGGAAAGCTGAAGAGGTTAAGTAGGAGTACCCCTTCTTGTAAATGGTGGATTCTAGGTTTTCTAGCTCTGGCCAAGAATAGAGCCCGTTGATATCACTGCCCATTGGTTGAGATTAAATAACTTTGCGTCATGCAAGAAAATCGTCTTTCCTGAGTATTTGAGAATTTGGAAGTGGGAATTCAGAAAGAGGTACTATGTCCCACGACTCTGATAATTTGTCTTAAAGTAGACCATTCACTTTTAACTTTTAAAATGAAGTCCATTAATCGTTTGTTATATAGTGTGTGCCAAGCATTGCCAGCAAAGTGAGGATAGTAAAGAATACCAGCCTCAACTTAATTATGAAGAGAGTTAATTGCAGTGCCTTCAGTGATGAAAATAATTACCTTCAGTGGCTATACAGAATGAAAAAGACTTTTAATCTCTTTGGGGCCATTCTTTACATTACCTGCCATGATGCCTCTTTACTCAAATCAATTTATGTTTACCACATCCTCTGAAGGAAATACATTTTATGAGCGCCAATTGTTTTTATATAGAGTGAATTGAAGTGACGATGTGTTTAATGTGGTATTCTCTCCCTCTTTCTTTTTTTCCCCCACCAGGTGAAATTGGGTGAAGATGCCCCTAATTCCAGAGTGGTGCATATCTCCAATCCCGAAGGAGGTGACAACGATGGAAATGGTGCCCAGGATAAGACAGTTGATGGAGCCGAGTGCCATCTTCTTGACTTTGCCAGCTCTGAGCGCCCACTGGTGGTCAACTTTGGCTCAGCCACTTGACCTCCATTTATTAACCAGCTGCCAGCCTTCAGCAAACTGGTGGAAGAGTTCTCATCAGTGGCTGACTTCCTGTTGGTCTACATTGATGAGGCTCATCCTTCAGATGGTTGGGCGGTGCCTGGTGATTCTTCTTTGTCTTTCGAGGTGAAGAGGCACCAGAACCAGGAAGACCGATGTGCAGCAGCCCACCAGCTTCTGGAGCGTTTCTCCTTGCCGCCCCAGTGCCGAGTTGTGGCTGACCGTATGGACAATAATGCCAATGTAGCTTATGGGGTAGCCTTTGAACGCGTGTGTATTGTGCAGAGACAGAAAATTGCTTATCTGGGAGGAAAGGGCCCTTTCTACTACAACCTTCAAGAAGTCCGGCATTGGCTGGAGAAGAATTTCAGCAAGAGATGAAATCTAAGTTAGCAGTTAAAGGTATGATTGTAATAGAGCTTTCTTTTTTAAAAAGAAAATTATGTACAGGAAAGCAAACTAAGAACTGAATCCACTATTCCAACTGAATCCCATTGCCTCACTGAAAGACAGGAATTTACATGTCAGAAGAACATAAACCTCTAACATCTCAATACTTCTTTTACCACTCAAACGGCATTTGGCTAAATAGTGATGGCTACCCCATCACTTCTCTTTCTAGTGAAAAGCCCTGGGGGAAAAGATCCCAAGATGGAGAGGAAGAAACCCTGTTTCAGCATGTGTTCATTCTGCCTTGAGAAAGAAGTGATACAGCTGATGCATGCTTTGGGACCTGAAGAAAAGACTTATGTGAATAACTACTATGTGAGGGAGGCTACTGTCCTGTTGGTATAAGGGGTGTTGCCTTGGCTTTATTCAGCACGGATAGAGCCCACCTGGAAAATTCCCAAATATTTACCTGCACTGTCCTTGAACCCAGGCCATGTGGTTAGGATCTTGGTATTTAACATGTTAGAGTAGTTTCCGATGTTCTTGTTTCTAGCCATTTAGTGCTCTATGCCGGTCTAAATATCCCAGAACTCATAGAGTATTTGTAGAGATCACAAATAATCCCTCAACCTGGAGGGTTAGAATAATCATCTAAAATCTGAGGGTTACTTTCTAGGCAGGTGGAAAAAGTGCTAGAAGAAAATCAAGTTGACAAGCTAGGAAAAAGAGGCAGAAAAATTAGGAGGCTTCTTAGAGTTTCACCATGAAGCTGTAGAGAGGCAGACTAATTTGTTAGCGATAGAAACATGAAAAAGTACACAAGGCCAGAAAAAGAAGCTTAACTAAAAGTAACATAGAGAATATACATGTGAAATCAATGCATTTATCATATATTCTTAGACTGAGGGAGAAAAGGAGATTGAAAGGAAAAAAACACACTTCAATATTTGTATGTATGAGGGTTTTTTTGTGGAAATAATTACTTTTGAAACATGTTTGTGGTGTGTATATTTTCAGGGGGTAAATTATACGCCAAGATACTGATTAAAGGTAAAACCAGTGGGTCCAGTGGTGCTGGTCTATGCCTCTCCATCCCTACAGTTATGATGTGGCCCCACTCATTCTTGGTCTCAGTCTCTATAACAGTGTTCTCTGGATGCTGAGCTAAAGAGCATCCTCTTCAGGTCAGAAATATATATATATATATTATGTATTTTCTCAGCTGCTGTGGGAGGTAGGTGCCCTGGCCATTCAGCTGCAGCACCGTTTTCCTCCCAAAGTAGGTCAACTATAATGAATGATAAATGCAAACAAACAAGGCTTCTTCAGTTGCAAAATAGAAGAGGGGAAAGTTAGTTTGAGACAATTCCCATCAATAATTTTGGAGGCTTTGATATAAGGCAACACTCAGTTGCATAGAATTTGGTAAAATGGAATTCCCATTTATGTTTGAATTTGGACTTGGGTCTTCCTTTGTTTCTATCAGCTGAAGTCTAGTAATTTAAGGCCTCTATAATACATTATGATAATGTTATTTTAATATATAGATACTATATTTTGCTTTAAAATAAAGATACTATAGTTTTACCTATAAGCAATATCTAAATAGCCTAACCTCCAAAAGAATAGACCAACGAATTTTGTATCATAAATTTTTTACTGTAAATTTGAGGATGCTATCAAATCACAGTATATGGGTGCATTTATATGTACAGTCAAAGGTTCTTATGACTATTCCATTAATAATTGAATCATAAAATAAAGCTAATAGAAAAAGAGACCTAAGGTTGAAAATATCTTCCTGAACTAGTTGCCTGAAATGAGAAAAAAGTGGGAATTGAGTGTGCAAAAACCAAAAGTCTATTTTTTAAAAAACTGAGGCAACATAGCAGTCATATCACTAGATTATCATTTAGCTACTAAAGCATTATTTTAACTGATTATTTTTTAGAGCAGTATTTAAGCTTACCAGTGTTTTAAATTCTAAAAAACACACCCACAGAGAAACAGAGCAAATTTTGAAAATGTGTCCTTATCTAACGAATTTCTGGAAAATCCCACTGAGATTAGATGATTTCCATTGTTAAACACTATACTCAAGGCTTATCAGTGGGCCCCATTGATTTTTATCTTCAAAATGGTGTTGAGATTTATGTATTACCCTAGAGAAGTAAAATGAAAAATTGGTTATGGCACACTCACACTATTGTCCTTAAACTCCCCCTTTGTTCAACGTGTGCAATAATGGAACAGGATGTTAGAGAAGCTGGTGGGGGGATGAGATTTGGCTAAGGCAGTCAGCGCTAGTCGTCTGGGGAAAAGGATGATGAAAAAATCACCCAGTTGTGATATACTTTTAACGAAAGAGAAAGTTGTGTGCGGGCAATTCCTCTCCCAGAGGACAGTCCAGTGGAGAAATGAAGCAGCGGAAGTAAACACACAAAGGCATAGGCTGAATATCAGGGAAAAAGATATGTTCAATAGAACATAGATGAGTTACTGGAAGAAAGGCATTTAGGGGGCCAATGGAGAAAGTGAATTGACAAAGCTCAGGAATCCTACAGTGTGTAGAATGGCTTAGTATTATCAGAGTTATGAGAAACCTGTAAATATGTAACTTATTTATCTCAACATAAACTTTTATGATTTCCTGTGATGTATCTTTTATGAACTTAACAAGAACTCATTATTTGAGATAGAGGAGAATCAATGCTTAGCTGGTATGCTCAGAGAAATTATTAGATTGTCAATACCCACCCCACCTATCCTGTCTTTTATAAAGTATGTTCCTTTGAAGAATTGTAGTTCTTATTCTCACAAGTCAAAATTATATGTATATAATATATAGTATATGTATATACTATATATATACCTTTGAGTTCTTCTTAGTACCTAAACATGTTTCCCCCCGTAGGCTGTGTTTCCATGGAGCTATCAGTTTAGCCCTTTAAATTGAATTAGCTTGTCTGTTATTGAAATAGTTTCCAAGCAATTTTAGATATTATCATAGCATCTGAATGTACTCAAACATTTAGTGTTTGAAAGACTTATGTCTTGGAACTATTCAAAACTACTGTATTTTATTGATTAGAGAAAATGCTAGTGAAATCAACATGACTTTCTTGAATGGGCATGAATGAAATGCCTGTACAATAAGGTAGAAGCATTGGAAACAGATACTAAAATGTAACTGACCTCCTAAGAGGTAGATTAGTAACTCTGTTCTTGCTTTGTATAGCTAAAGTGACAGTCATTTAACTTATGTGACTTTTTATATTCATGTTTTGGATCTCTGATTCTATGTCTTCACTTGTTTGTAGAATGGATCCTTGATTTTTGGTAATATCAACTTCTAAATGGCCTATTGAATTAGTTCAATTCTCCTTCCATTAACCAGGAAATGCCTATTCTATGATCAAGGAGAGAAGAAAAGCTTGCTGTCTTTCATTTTGCCTGAGTGTATTTTAATGTTTGGGCTCTTGAATAAAAATTATGAAATATGGTGAGGCTATGCGTGGGTGCTGCCTTGCTGCATAAAATACCAGAGGGGCAGGTTAAAGACAACATTTATGCCTTTGGGAAAATTCTCAGCTGAATACGAGGTACCCTTAGCATGCCCTGTGGGCTACGTCCATGGCAAGAGAAATGCACTGATGTACAGGACTTCCCATTCTGTGAATCATAAGAGGATGAACCTGGACATGTATCCCACTGACCTCTGACTAATGGTTTGGAAAATAAGCTTAATTAGAATCACATGGCCATTACAAAGGGGAAAATATAGACTCCGACTTCTGTCCCATTGAAGGATTAATGAAAACCTTTACCAGCATTTGGAGCTTTTCAGAACATGCCCAATGTCATGTCTCTCAGCAGTGGAGATTAACAGTGAGGCTTTTGATTTTCAGGAGATTTAAAAAAAAATGATATTGCCAAAAATCAGAGCTAAAGTGTTTTTAGTTGTATTCCAATCTCCTCCCCACTTCCTCCTTTATCTAAAAATACAAGCCAAACCCAGTCTTCATATGTATGTCCAGAATGGGGCATAAGTACCAAGCTTTGCTGGGTGATCAGCACTCTCTTGTAGAGTCTTGAGGTCTGGGCTTGGGAGAGTCAAGAAGTTGCTAACTGGGAAGAACTAGGCTGTGAGGGCTCAGTCTACTGATTTAGGAATATTTGAAAAGAAACTTCTCATCATTGGAGGAGGGCTGCTGAGTATCATTAAGTGACTTTAGGATGAACTCAATATTGGGCCACTTCCTAATGCCTTATTTTCTGGATATCACCATAAGCAAGGTCTCAGACTTAAGAGACCCAGCTCTGTTCCAAGGGAACTCTAAACCAATAGAAAGCAAATATGTACAGATATCCAAACAAGACTACTCACACAAGTTGGGGCTTGCTGCCCATCTTGGGCGGCAGCACCAGAGCTCCAGGGAGTTTATTTAATATTTACTGGTGAGACTTTGAAGACCCTGGAGATGTTTAATGAAGTCACTCTTTTGGCTCAACACTCCCCCTTCCCCCTAAAAAGCAAATAGGTAAACACATCAGTGAAAGAAGCCCACAGAAGGGAGTGGGAAATAAATAAAATTCTCTCAAGACTTCTCCAGACCATGTCACTGGTTGGTACGGTTTTCACGTGTGTTAGGATTGGAGGACAAGAAGACATAAGTATCCAGTACTTTATAACCAAAGCAATGAAAAGATATTGGGTAGGGAATGTTGGCCAGTTTTGTTTAGTTTTGCATCACATTACCAGACTCTATCACTAGCCCAAGTAATCGGGCCCCCGAAGAGGGAGATTGGGATGCGCAGAGGTTACCAATGTGCAAATGATAACTACTGACGAAAGAGTCATCGACTCAGTTAGTGGTTGGATGTAGTCACATTAGTTTGCCTCTGCCCATCTTTGTCTCCCTAGCAAGGAGAATGATCGGGGTATGATGCTGTGAGTACTGGGTAAATGTGGTGAGAATGCATGTGTGTATATCTCTGCTTCTCAGTTGCAGAAACAGAAGTTCTTTGGAGATTATCAGTAGACAGAGTGTTACTATATTGGTGCTGAGTGGTACGTGTGCTTTTACAATTTGTTCTTGTACTTTAATAAACTTTGAATAAAAGAGTAAAGTTACTATTTGGTTCTATTTGTTTATTTTTAAATTACTCTCTAGACCTTGCCCCTGGCTGGAACACATTCATGGCTGACAAGGGAAAGAGAATCCATCATTCTAATATTTATTCCTTGGTATTTGTGGGCAAAGTCACCAGAAATGCCAGGTTATTTTAATCTCATGCTGTGTGCCAGAGTCTTCAAGGAAATCAAGACAAGTTAAAAGAAAATCTTCAGATACTTTCCATATTCATGAACAAGTTACACACACAATTCGTGGAAAGGGGCCTGTTAAAGAGACTGTGAAGCAAACTTTTACTTTGTTATATTTACCCCCCAGGTTTTCCAAGTGTAATAAATAAACTTTCCAGGAAGCTGGTTAAAGCAATACATATAGATACACACCCACACTGTGTATGTATGTATCTGTATGTTGTTGTTAGTGCCGTAGAGCGGATTCCAACTCCTAGTGACCTGTGTACAGCAGAGCAGA